TCGTTCTTCTAAGAATGTTTACAAATGGTAATTATCTTTTTCCTTGAGAACAAAAACAATACTTCCATTGATATTTTTTAATTAGTGTTAATGACTTTTGTTTGTTTGTTTGTTTGTTCAACAGTGAATTGTTGCGGTATTGATGTTGATGTATATATATGTTCATGTTCAACTCACTTTTAGTCTGTCACAATTTTTATGTAAAGCTTTGGTCATCATTGGGCGTTAGTCCCAAGTTGATGAGATGGCAGTGACAAGATGTATAGTAGAGTAGTCAAAATAATGTAACAATAATAATAATATAATTATTATTATCATTACTCATAATAATGGTAGTAGTAGTAGTAGTAACAATCAAAAAATCTAAATATTGAGGCTACTGTTCCTTAACTTTGTGATTTCTTTGTGAATCTCCACTGGAAATTAGTTGATTGTTCAATTTTCATTACATTTACAAGAGAACAATCTTACTTTTACTTTTTATTTACTTCTATTACCCCCAACGGAACATAGGCCACCGGCCAGCATTCTCCAACCTACACTGTCATGGGCTTCCTTTCTAGTTCTATCCAGTTGTTGTTCATTCTTCTCATGTCTGTCTCCATTTCTCGGTTTAATGTGTTCCTTAATCTTCCGCTTCTCCTTTGGCCTTGAGGATTCCAAGTAAGGGGTTGTTTTGTGACACAGTTGGGTGCTTTCCTCAGTATCTGTCCTGTCAACTTTCAGCGCTTCTTCCTGATTTTTTCCTCCTCTGAGATCTGGTTTGTTCGCTCCCACAAGAGAATGATATATATATATATATATATATATATCAGCCTCTGCAGCAGTAGGTCTCAACATACATAAAGGAAAAAGCAAAATTCTCCGATGCAACACAACATGCACCAACCAAATTACGCTTGATGGAGATGCCTTGGAGGACATTAACACCTTTACATATCTGGGCAGCATCATCGACAATCAAGGTGGATCCGATGTAGATGTGAGGGCGCGGATTGGCAAAGCAAGGGCTGCATTTCTACAGTTGAAAAATATCTGGAACTCAAAACAACAACCAACCAAAATCAGGATTTTCAATACCAATGTGAAGACAGTTCTACTATATGTAGCGGAAACCTGGAGAACTACCAAAGCCATCATCCATAAGATACAAGTGTTTATTAAAAGTTGTCTACGCAGAATACTTCGTTTTCGTCGGCCAGACACGATCAGCAACAACATACTGTGGGAGAGAACAAACCAGATTCCAGTGGATGAGGAAATCAGGAAGAAGCGGTGGAAGTGAATAGGACACACACTACGAAAGCACCTAACTGCGTTACAAGACAAGCCCTCACATGGAACAGTCAAGGTGAAAGGAAAAGAGGAAGGCCAAGGAACATATTACGCCGAGAAATAGAGTTAGGTATAAGAAGAATGGACAAACATTGGACAGAACTGGAGAGGGAAGCCCAGGACAGAGTTGGTTGGAGAAAACTGGTGGGCGCTCTATGCTCCATTGGGGGTAACAGGCGAAAATAAGTAAGCTAGTAATATATATATATATATATATATATATATATATATATATATATATATATAATTACAACTGTTCCTACTTTTCAAGGTAATGTTATGTGCTGAACTTAATTAAACAGCTACTAAAAACCAGTACATACTGAACAACTGTTCGTCCTAGTATAAGGCTCCTCAATAGTAAGCGTTTCTGAACCTACCGAGGGACGAACCACTTAGCCGGTTTGGAACAGTGAAATGCTTAACTTTAGTCAATCCTCGATATTTGTGGGTAACTTCCGTGCATACTTCACTGGTCATGGTTTCGAACTCGAACTCTTGGAACTATTTTTCGTACGATGATTATTTTGATCAAACCTACTTATTTTCTGTATTATTTGTAGGTCTTCATTTGACTGCAGCCAATTTAGTGATATTCGCTGAATTATTTTGGAATCCTGGTGCATTAGTTCAAGCTGAGGATAGAGCATATCGAATTGGTCAAATGGATTCTGTGTTAGTACGTTATTTGATTGCTGAACAAACTGCAGATGACTTTATTTGGTTAGTTGAATCATAAATTATCATAGTTAAAATTAATGACAGTAATTATTGAATAACTATGCTTGGAGCCCTTCTAGGGTTACTGCCAGTTCCAAGCCGGGATAAAGGGTTGGGGATGAGGTTAAAGACTCCACCTTGTAGAAAAGATATGCTTACCAGAAAAAATAATTCACACCATTTTAACTCTGCGCTGATAGTTGAAGGGTCTTCGTTTAGATGAGTTATGACCCATCATGGATAAAGCCGAGTTTCTTCGGAAGTCATGAGGTCGATTCCCCTTCTGACAACTAAAGCAACACTTAATGTAGACACAATGTGAGAGACCAGCAAAAGTATTTAACTTGCTGCAGAAATGAAGTATGTGAACTTGATAATTAGGACGACTTAAATATTGACCAATAGAATTCTACTCACAAAATTTCTTTAGGATATTTGATGAATATCCTAACAGTTGTATGTCCTTCAAGATCTACTCAATCGAGAGGAAACTATCATGGAGAACAACTGGAAAACGATCCATAGAAGTAATAAATTCTCTATTTCATGAGGTTTTGGGCCACAAGAAGCACCATCACAAGGAATGGATCTCTGGGGTTACACTGGATAAGATCCAAGAAAGGAAGGACAGAAAGGCAGTGATCAATAACAGTCGAACAAGAGCAAAGAAAATCAGGGCACAGGCCGAATACACAGAAGCAAACAGGCAGTTGAAGCAGGGCATTAAAAACGATAAACGGAAATTTTCGAAATACCTGTCAATGACACTTGTAAAAGCTACAAGGAAAAAAAACACGAGACACCTATATGATACACCGAAGAAGCTTCATCGAACATTGGCTTTTCGACTTCCCACCATCCAATTTAGTTAACAACAGCCCCTTCGCAAAAAGTCTGTAAGATTTTTGTGAGATATTCCTGATAGCTCTACCTATGGTCATATGAGAGCATTTTAAGAGGGAGAGCCAACTTTCCTCATTTATAGCCTTATCAGGGCAACAGTAGAGAAGTCTTGGCTTTCGATAGTGTTGTGATATCACGTGTGCGTGATAATCAAGAGATTTTATAATTGACAAGTGATTCACCATCCTAACTTTAGCATATGTTGACATTCATCAACAAATTATTCATACTCAAATCGCTTGCAATGGCGCAGGTACATCTACTCTTTGTGTTCTTGCGAATTCTAATCTTCTGAATTCTTCATCATCTCTATCTTTCTCCTTCTAGATTTATTGCACTGAATTATACTTCTTGAATAATTTCTTCGGACCCTAATCTTCTCCATTACCGTTAATAGTGTAGTGTGCCGATTTACTGCGAGTTCTTAAGCTCGGTAATTAGCTCGTCGAGACAATCGTTACTAAATAGCATCTGACGGTTTATAAATCAGAAGGTGAACACAAAGTTTTGAATACGTTTATTTTTGACACACCACAAAGCGAAGCGGAGAAGCAGTGAATAAAACGAATGAAGTGCCGTGAATTGGAGAAGCGCATTGGAGAAGGCTAATGAGCCAACTCAAAGAGATAGAGCATGACTAAGAATATATAGTCAGACAAAAATAAGGCAGACATATGACAAGCGAAATAGGCGTGCACACACATGAATAAAAGCGACGAATGATTGACAAGGTCAAATGACAAGTGGAACACGTCATGTGAGCTCATACAAACCAGACAATAATAAGAACGAATGGTACATAGAAATTGTTGCAACATAAATGGCTTGGCCAAATAAATTAGTCAAAAGGGCTTAACCAAGTTAGATGTAAGCGAACTGGAATATATGTGGAGGCACTACAATAGTTCTACTCTTTCTACTACTGAACTGACAATTGCGTCTCTGTGCTAATGTAGTATGGCAACTTGAACTGATGTACGTATGTACGATGTTCTACGTTGTAGTTGACTGACTGACTCACATCTGGACAATGTTTTTACGGATGAACACTCATGTGATTCTAAAAGTTCGGACATTTTCTCTGCTCTCCTCGGTATGATGTAATATAATGATGCCTCAGATAAAAATGCAATCATTACATGAAATTATTTAAGAAGGCAAAAGTTCAATACAAAAAGTATATATACATATATATGTTTCTTGTTTAAACTGTTCCCTCTTATTATATGATATATTCATTTTTTAGGCCTCTTGTGGAGCGTAAACTTGAAGTATTATCCAAAGCTGGTCTAAACAGAGAGACATTTCGAATGACTGATTCAATAACAAGACTTAGTGTATGTGCTTTTTTGTTGTTGTGGTTACTTGATTCTGTTAACTTTTATTGTTTATATATTATATTTATGTACTGGTTCTTTCAAACTTTTCACATCTAATCATCTTATGTGATACTTTATATTTTAATGATGGGTTAGGTTTGCTAATTTCTTTAAGTTTTCTCTAAGCCTGACGTTAATTTATTAGGAATTTTTCAGACTGATTCAATAGTGCGTGTACTTTTATGTTGAGCGGACAGGGCTTGTCCCATGACTTCGGACAAGTTTACTAATTTCCATTCTTCCCGAGTTACTATCTTCATGCCTTTTGATTTTATTCGTGTGTGTGCATGTGTTGGTATTTCGCTTATTGGCAAATGTTTTTCTGACTGTGAATGCTTAGTGCTGCCTCCTTACGTGGTGTTGGCTCGCTGGCCTTCTCCACTTCACTTCGCTTTGCTTTCAAGCTATGTATTCTCCTGCCTGTCTACATGAACTAAACTCGCAACGGCATTATTTCATAATATCCAATGTTTGGTTGTCATTTGTTAGCTTCTTTAAGGATGAGTGTACTGTGCAGTAGCTCGCTCCGTCCTACTATACGAATGCGAAACATGGCCAGTCGGAGTGGAAGATATTCGTAGGTTACCTGTTTTCGATCATGGGCGTCTCCAAAGCATTGCTCGTGTATTGTGGGACAACCGAGTAAGCATTACTGTCGTTCGGGAACGAGTACTAGGTAAGGATAGCAGGTCAATAGATGAAGTATTGAAACTTCATCAGTTGAGGTGGTTGGGACATGTGTTACGTATGCCTAACCACCGACTGCCTCGTCGAGCTATGCTTTGCGATGTAGGTGTAAGTTGAAAGAAAGCTAGGGGCGGTCAGTCCAAAACATGGCAGAAATCCATGAAGTCACTAACAAGTGAACTGAGTCATGTTGATAGATGTAGGCCACCTGGTTGCGGTCCACGAGATGATATTAATCGATGATCAGAGACCCCGAATGACATTGCTTAAAACCGTTTGGAATGTCGCAGGTGCATTCATTCTTTGTGTTCTCTCAAATCCTAACCTTCTGAACTCCCCATCACCTTTATATTTTTCTTTTCAAGTTTATTTGACTAGATTATACTTCTTGAATGCTAAACTTTTCGATTACTGCTAATATATCTACTGCCTTTACTACTATGGGATTTGAATCGACAGTTGCCTCTCTGTGCTAATGTGGTATAGCAATTCGACTGACGTATGTGTATATGAAGTTCTACGTTGCTGTTGATTGATTGATTGAGATTCTTTAAAGAATAATTGTTTTTATAATCGTTTATGTCGATGAAATCAGTTATGATCTGAATAAATCAGTGGTAACTGATGCAGTTGCGGCTCTTGCTGGCGACTATATGGATCTTTGAGCTTACAGGATCAGTTCTTACTGTTAAGCTGTAGACCGTGTTAGATTTTAATTCATGGCTTTTCATTCATTGTTTCTGACTATTTTAACTTGTTATTTTCCACTCGCTGTTATCTGTTAGTAAATAATATGTGGATTTCTTCGTATCTTAAAAACCAGGGCGACTTATGCCAGTAGGAGCCACTTTTTTGCTTTCTTTATGTTATTCTGATTGCAAAATAATCGGGTTTACAATGTATCAGTGAGAGCAGTTTTGCGTTGTGCTTGTAAAACCTAGACTCTTCGAGTTTGGCATGTTCAGTGACCTTGTGTTCAATCATTGTTGATATCCAGTGGCATTACCATGTTACCAACGTGTTCTACAACAATACTGATAGGGTGATTTCTGTTAACATCTTCAAATACTAACTTCGATGGCTTCAATATGCGTTAGGAATGCTATTTCACATATGAATGTATAGTTGAACTCTGTGTTCTAAATATGATTGATAAAATCGGTTTATGTATGTGGTCATGAATCTTGACTGACTGAATTGGTTAGGACATGTACTATCTTATACTTTTCTTTGCAGCAACTCATTCTAAAATCATATTTCCTGAACCTAATGTTTACTTCTCTGGTATTTATCCAAATAATTTCTTATGTGCTGGTGTGTTGCGGGCACATTTACTGCCCTTTCAACCTTACTTATTCAATTCAACTGTGTTTTTATCTGAAACATTAATACCACTCTCTATCATTTTCTCTCGCCTTTGTTTTTTTCCTTCCCTATGAACCATATTACTGTTTTTGAATTGCTTTTTTTTAGTTGACTTCTCAATCAATCAAAATAGATTTTTTGTTGTTGATTTCAAATTTAAGTGTAATGCATTCATTCATACTTGAAATAAAATAAACCTAACCAGGCTGCTGTATATATATATATATATATATATATATATATATATATATATATATATATATCAACTTTGAATGTGACAAGTCAGACAGTTCTATCACAATAGTTGTTATTGTTCTCCATTTAAGTATATATATAATATTGTGACGAATAACGAGAAAAGAACTGAAAAACAGATTGATTCTGTTTTTTTTTCTTATGTCAAACCCTCTCTTCTTCATTATGTTCACTTTCTTCATTTTCTATGCTTCTCAGCCTAACCGGGTACGCACCTTCTATTGTCTTTAACGTGCATACATATCACCTCTTAATGACTGGTTTTAATTTAATAAAGCGCTTAATATTTCATGAATGTGTGTATATGAGTGTGTGTAGTGATTGTGGCGGTGATTATGTTTACTTCTGGTAATTGTTGAGTTGTGTGTGTGTGTGCATATTCAAGACTAGTTATGCTATGCAGTGACAGATGAAGTAAAGATTGAATTGTGAATGTGAATTGAATTTTTTTACTATTTGTTTAAATCAATAATTAACGAACTAGAGCGGGTTTTTGAAATATAATAATACTGGTTAAAAGTGGCTAAAAATGTGTTGAATAAACAATTTTTTTCTTGTGTTATTATTGTTTTCTTCAAGTCACACAAAAGAAAAACGTATTTGATCTTGGTATAGTTAGGTATAGTTAAGTATCATAAAAATAAATACCTTATATGGTATGACAAAAATTTCTTCAACATATTTGAATTGATGGTAGTGAGAACATCAACTATGCCATATGGAATTTAGTTCAAACGTGAAGAATTTAAATGTGTTTTCAGTTGGTTTGGAAAATGTTGTTTAAAAGCTAGTTAGATTTATTTATTCTTAAGATTGATTTGTAAGGCTGGCGATACTTAGATGGTTCTAATTTTCATGGACTAAAAATCATGGCAAGTTTATTTTCCCCAATAATTCTTTATTAAGACTTCTAAATTTAATCTACTGTTTTACACACACGTTTCCCTTGATTTCAATGATAATTTACAGTGAAATCCTGAATCGATCAATGTTAGAGCACCATTAGGAACTTGCAAGCATTGGAAGGCCGTTTTGTCCGAGTAGGGGACTCCTTACCGGTGCGCATCCACGATCCTCGCCTATGGGAATGGAACCCAAGACCTTCGGCCTCTCGTGCAAACACGTAACTTCTACACCACTGAACTGGCATCCAACGGTGTTTATGTTTAACTTTAATCAGTTCATTATATTTTGCGACCACATTTACTGTCTTCCGTGAGTAACTGCTTCACATCCGACACGGTTGAACTCCAGTGGTCACGACTTCTCACTGGAACTTCGAGAATTCCTTCACGAAGCTAGTCACTAGTGAGTATATGCTGGATTTATGATTTCAGTGAAACAACCACCTTCCGAAACTCTATGACGATAATATACTGTCTGATAAACTGGACTATCGGTGAATGTACTGAATAACTAAAATTAAGTTGAATCATGTCCGTTAGTCAATTTTTCAAAATAGTTCGTTCATTTTTTTTCTAATCTCTTGAATTGAAATTCGATTACACTTGTCTAACTGTTTATTGTCTGAACTCGTACATTGTTCTTAAGCTAGGTATACCTGGATTCTGGTAACCATCTTCAAACTGGTAGAACACCTATCATTTAATAGTCATAACGCAGCGATTCTCCCACCATTCACATATCCAAATAATAAAAATATTCAACTTGATTCGTTAACATTAACAATAGGTAGATGTAAGCATTTTCAAATAAATTGTTTTTCATTGCAGAGTTATGCTGATGAGTCCCATATTAGGACGAAACTTCTGTCCAGTGCCTCCACGTTTCTAATGATCGATTCCTTTATTTTAATGAAATTGTTTTTTATGAGTTTTATTGCAAGGAATTTTAATTGTTTGTGTTTGTCTTTCTTTTATTTGTCTTCAAGTCAAATAATACATTAGAACAACAAAAAATTCTAGATTATTTCAAAACAGAACTAAATGATTTTGAAGAATGGGAGAATTTCGACACTGTATTACCAATAATCAATGAAGACCGAAATAGCAATGCACAATTTGAAAATACCAAGAAACTTGACAATCATAATACTAATGAAAATAAGCTTAATCCTGCTCAACCTAAAATGATCACTAGTTTACTTCGATCCAAATCACAATCATCATTGGCGAACAATGATCCAATTGTCCCTAATGAAAATAATACACGGAAACGTTTACTTGTTCCATCCTCACCTGAATCGAATCATTCAGAGACATTTTCAAATAAAGCCGATCATGATGATGATGTTGTTGTTGTTGATGATGATGATGATGTTGATGTGAATGCTGACCATCTCGATGATGATGATGATTTGATGTGGGTTGACAATGATTTTATCGATCAAATCGACGAATCAGATATCACAGATAATAATGCAGAAGAATTTTCAGCCACTGATGATGATTACTTGATATCGGAAGCTGTGAAAATTGCTGAAGCCGTGGAAGTGGATTGGTTAACAGATAGTTTTGATCAAAAATGTGAATAATATGATTACTGAAAGCTCATCTATCATGATTTATTACTTCTCTTGTTGTGTACATAATATATTTCTGTTTTTGTTTCTTTCAAAGAGAGAAGGAGAGAGAGAGTTGATTAGATTATTTTATTCTTGTAACACATATGTAAACAATATTGTCTACCAGAGATTATTATTATTATTATTATCACTACTATTTTTTTTGTTCAACACTTAATTTTGTTATTGAATTGAATCGTGATGTAATCTGTAAATATAATCGATCATTCTAGTTTCATATTGAATGTTATTCTCTCTAATAAGCATAAATGTGTATTACAGATTGTTCATTCCTCATTATTTAGTTTAAATCTTCAAATATAAAATATGTGTAAGTGATCAACTGACATTGAATGCCATTTACATGTAACTGTGTACGATTCGTCACTAGGTATGCTTGAGGCTATTACGAGTTTACCTTAGTCGATAACCACGAACGAGACTTTTACCAGCGTCCAGGTAGGCTACCTTGAATCCCAAGCTGAAGTAAAAAGGCTTTGTAAGCGTAGAAAGTATATTCTACAAACACCCAGCAATCACAATACACAATCAAGCATACCACTCTCGTTTATTTATACATCATAGAAGCGTCCTTGGGACAGTTACGAAAATAGCACACTAAAATACACAGCAGCCAATCGCAGCCATGGATTGACTTTCCTGGTGGGAAATGAAATCTCAAGGTCAACTGATCAGCCCATGCTGGCAAACGTGAAAACCAAAATAAGGCATTTATCAAGCGAGTTTTGGGGATCTAACATCTCCAACAAACTGATTCTCACATAATGATTTCGCTAATTAGTTTTAATGTATGGTGAATTCTATGAATAAATAAGGCTCGGTTGGTTTTTTTGCCAACTTCTATCACTTATGGCGTAAGCGAGATATCGGTCAACTAACCAAAAGACGAGTTTACTGTGCAGTAGTTCGCTCTGTTGTACTTTACGGGTGTGAAACTCTTCGGGGCTACTGCCTGTCCCAAGCCTGGATAAAGGAGGAGGGTGAAGATCTGGGTTGGCGACCCTATCCCGGTAAAAACTAACTTGCCAAAAAAATGCTAACAAGAAATAATAATTCAAACCATATAAACTCTGCTCTAGGATTTAGTTAGTCTTCATTTAGAAGAATTATGACGTCTCATGATGAAAGCTGAGTTTCTTATCTCCTCGACCAACTCTTTCTTCGATCGTACGTATTTTACTAGCATCCAGAAAGTACGAGGTCCGAGTCCAGAAGAGAATCAGGATCCCGGGTTCAGATCATAAAACATTACAGATAATGCGTTTTTACGCATTTAGGTTGGATAGGAAACAACACTTGGAATCACATTGACAGTTAGGACGACCAATACGAAACATTTGAAGTGACATTAATAGTCAGGACGACCAACAGGAAATGAACAATAGAATTAGACTTACAAATAATTCTCTTAGGATATTGGTTGAATATCCTAACACCTGGTCTCCTGAAACCGCGTACTTACGGCCAGATCAAAACATGGCACAAATCTATGAAGTCACTAACAAGTGGACTGAGTCATGTTGGTAGATGTAGACTACCTGGTTGGGGCCCGCGAGACGAAAGTCACCGTTGTTTAGACACCTTGAATGACATGGCTCAAAATCGTTTGCAATGGCGCAGATGCATCCATTCTTTGTGTTCTCCCAAATCCGAATCTTTTGGAGTCGTCAACACCTCTACCTTTGTCTTTCTAAACTTATCTCACTGAATTATACTTCTTGAATAATATCTTCAAACCCTAGTCTTCATTACCATTAATACCTCTACTATCTTTATCACTATGGGATTTGATTTGACATTTGCGTCTCTGTACTAATGTGGTATGGCAACATGAAGTTATGTACTTATGTACGAAGTTCTACGTTTTAAATAACTGACTTGAATGTACAACATTTTAATCAATGCAGTGCTGTCATTTTTATGTTGCAGATACGATAGTGAATAACAAAAACTTTTTTCATAAGCTTTCTCAATGAGATATAAACGATTTACCTAAAGAAATAATCCGTTGCCTTTTTAAATATCATATAAAAGTGTAGGCAGGAAATAAGTGTTGTAGATAAATGAACTAAAGTAAGCTTAGGGATAGTCAGCTTATGATGAAGGAATAAATGAAATCAGTAATTCGTTCATTGTGATTAAATCAGAACAAAATATAATTTGTTCAAGTTGTTTTGATACTTTATTTTAGTGGATTAATTATTGTAATTACTAAATGATACATTATTGATATTTATTATTTAATAATTAAATAATTTGATCAACAGATTTTGTTTAAATAATAAAAAAAATTTTAACAATAAAATTTGATCGACAAGAAATGTAATGAATATCATAGAGTATATATAGTGTTGAAAAGGTGTTGGGGACGTTAGATCCCAAGTACTCACTTGATAAATGTCCTAATTTTGGATTTTTTATGTTTTCGCGCATAAGTCGCTTAGTTGACCTTGACATTATATTCCCCGCTCAGAAAATCCTTGACTGTCATTTGTGGATGGATTATTTTAGTGCGCTATTTTTGTGGCTCTCCCAAGGACGTTTCTATCATGTATAAATAAGCGTGATTTGTATGCTTGTCAACCTCGTATTTTCCTGATACTTGTAGAATACACTTTCTACGCCTTATCAAAACTTCTTACTATAGTTAGCACGGCCGGGGACAATCGAATCAGTATAGCCTATCGTGTCAGTGTATCATTGTTTCGCTCTCATTTACCAAGTAAGGTGAACTGGTAATAGTTTCAGGCATATCAGTTGACAAGCATATCCAACGGTAAATCTTTTAAACGAATGTATGAAATTTATCATGTCAAAATGAATTCAACTCAAATTCATTTAAATTCAGCGCAAGTTATTGTTTCCATCATCTTTGTAAGCAATAGTGTACAGCTCATCACATTCTTATCAGTTTAACAGCTGTTTAAGAACAGATAAAAAGATGTTGTGACATGTCGCTTGAGTAGTGGTTTTTCAAAAACTCAAACTCAATCTTTGTTCATAAACAGTCAGTCAGTCATTTGTCCATTGATCACGGCAATGTCAAATTTATAATTTTGATTAAAATCTTACCCAATTGTTATTAATGTTAATACTAGTATTGATATTATTTGTCTTATAAGTATCACAATTATCTTGTCATGCAACTTTTGCTTAGTTGAATGTCATTTCATTTACCTTCAAACTATATTCTTACTCATTGATCATTTTCATTGACCCGACTGTCTAAATTAACTCCTTCTGAAGTTGAATCGGATGGAAGATTCATAAAAAGCTTATATTCGAGATCAATAATCTGGCTTTCGAAAGGATAGTCTATGCACCGTTCAAATCGTAACATTGCTGATCATTGTTGAACGATCATTTGCAAGGAACTAATTGTCATACACCAAGTTTATGGGTTTTGAAGAGGTATTTGATAATGTGGATAGGGGAACCCGATGAAACCTTCTTTGACATCGCAGAGTATCTGTAAACATCATCACCATCATCCGGAAATTTTACAGTCGTTCGAATCGCCGATTCATAGATATGTTCCGAGAGAATATTGGGGTTTGATAGGGCTAACGACTGACGCCTTTCCCCTTTCTCCTAGTTGTTGAATGGATTAAGAAGGCTCCTATATATATATATATATATATATATATATATATATATATATATAACTGGTAATCACTTTCATTCCGATTTACCAATCATCATTATTTACTATTTCATATTATGTATGTTACAAGCCTTGAGAAAACGGACAATGCAGCCAGATATCAGTGATTTCCTATTTCAATATAGACTTATGGAGATTATTGAGTTTCCGTGAAATTAAGAACCGATCATTGTTAGACGATGCATTAGAAACCTAAAAGCAATGGGACTCATCAGTAGTACGCACTCATAACTCCCACTCGCAGAAATCAAACCTAAGATTTTCGGTCTCGCAGATAAACGCTTAACTTGTACACCCGTGTGGTGACATCCAACAAACTATGATCAATTCATAAATTCCAATGAAACTCAATATTGTCCATAAGTCTATAATGAAAGAGAAAACATAAGTTTGATTGTAATCTTTGACTAAACGAATTTTAGTTAGCCTTAATCTCCTGTATAACGTATAAAGAAGTTTTAGGAGAGAGGAAATCATTGATTTCTATCCACACTGTCTATTTTTTGTCAAAGTTTGTCGATTACTTACTTACTTACTAACGCCTGTTACCCCCAATGGAGCATAGGCTGCCCACCAGTTTTCTCCAACCAACTCTGTCCTGGGCTTCCCTCTCCAGTTCTGTCCAATGTTTGTTCATTCCTCTCATATCTTTCTCGGCGTAATGTGTTCCTTGGACTTCCTCTTTTCCTTTCGCCTTGAGGGTTCCAAATGAGGACTTGTCTCGTGACGCAGTTAGGTGCTTTTCGTAGTGTGTCCTATCCACTTTGAAAATAATTCAAAGTTTGTCGATATCTGATCTCTTTCTATATTGTACTGTTAAATTCGGTGAAGAAATTCTCGAATAAAAATAATTTGAAATACTTTTTAATATTATCGTTAACTTAAAATACACATAGTCGTTATAATCAGTAATCAGTTTGGTGCAACAGAACAAACCAGATTCCAATGGAGAAAGAAATCAGGAAGGTACGCTGCAGGCGGATAGGATACACATTGAGGAAAGCACCCAAATGCGTCACAAGACGAGCCTTCATTAGGACTCCTCAAAGTCAAAGGAAAAGAGGAAGGCCAAAGAACAAATTACGACGAGAAATGGAGTCGGACATGGGAAAGAATGAACAACAACTGAACAGAACTGGGAAAAGAATGCCCATGACAGAGTAGGTTGGAAAACGCTGGTCGGTGGCCTATGCCTCACTATTCATAATAGCTGTAAGTAAATAAGCAAGTAAGTAAGTAAGTAACTAATCAGTTTAGTTTGATGTATTTTTTTTGTACTTTTCAAAACAAACCAATTTAAAAACATTTTTTGTTTTCAAAATAAATATCATTTAAACATTTTTGAATTAAAATTATCATCCGACTATTGAATATGAGTTCATTGTTTTAAATTGTTCATTTTCCTTTGGAAAAAAAATAAATAAATTTAGATTCCTTATTCAATTTTGTTGCATAAATGTGAAATAATTAACTGTCTATTTACAAT